GTGTGCTCTTCCGATCTATAAAATACGTGTCTCTTTCGTGTCTTCAAACTCAAATTTGAGAACACACATCAAGGCAACTAAGTTAAATTTTTAGACTGTTAACTTTAACTTAACTTAATTAAAAAATATTCTTACCCAACCCTGAATTTAGAAACTATTATAAAATATTGTTTCTGCTAACAGTATATAGTAAAACTATAATGCTGAAATTCTGTGACACATAGATGCAACATATGCGAATTATAGCTTTTATTCGTGACATTTTGATAGAATTTAACATTTCTGTTTGATGTTTGATGTAGGCAAAGTAAATGATGGCCTTTGCGGACTTTATTTGTTCTTTATTTAAATGCAGGAAAAGCGGATGGTTGTCTTTGTGGAAGCCTCTGTTCTGGAGGACCCAGCTCTCGCCAGAGATCCTAGGTTTCAAAGCGTTCGGGATAGATTACAAACCTTTAGGGATGGCACAGATGACTTGCAGGTAATAATCTTCGTTTACTTTGATATATTTAATGAAAGTTTTAAATTACGTTTTATTACAACTTGAGACTTTCTTGTAAGGTCTAAAGATCTCCGTTTTTTATATTTACATCGGATTCAATTTAATTATTTATCGAACGACAAAGAATAACCGAATTTTTGCTTTAAGTGGGGTGCACTGATTTCCTTTTCCAGGATAAAATTGATTTTATCGTCTGCTTGGGAGGCGACGGCACACTTCTTTATGCCAGTCTGCTGTTCCAACAGTCAGTACCACCTGTAATGGCATTTCACCTTGGTTCCTTAGGATTTCTCACACCCTTCGAATTTGATAATTTTCAGGAGCAAGTGACCAATGTTCTCGAAGGTTAGTCATCAATTCGTTTTACGTATTTCTTTCTTCTAATCGTCAAATTTATATTGTATATTGTTCCCGATCCTAGGTAATGCGGCCTTAACTTTAAGGAGTCGTCTTAGATGCGTCATTATACGGAAGAATGAAGACAGTCAGCTGGCAGAACCGCCGACGAGTCTCTTGGTATTGAATGAGGTTGTAGTGGATCGAGGGCCCTCACCTTACCTTTCGAATATCGACCTATTCATTGACGGCAAGCACGTCACGAGCGTCCAGGGTGACGGCTTGATCGTGAGCACGCCGACCGGGTCGACCGCTTATGCAGTCGCCGCTGGGGCCAGTATGATTCATCCTTCAGTTCCTGCCATTATGATCACGCCTATCTGCCCTCACTCTCTGTCCTTCAGGCCGATTGTCGTACCTGCCGGGGTCGAGCTCAAGG